TGTCTGATAGTAAGGCTGTTCTAGACCTTTGCCTGTGGCTGGTGGGGATCTGCCATTGACTTAATCTGACTAGATACTCTGCAGATGGGTTTGGGGCTCCCACCGTCCTCTACAGCCTTCTACAAACTGGGTGTTCACAATTTAAGCTCTGATACTTTTTGTCATATTTGAATTTTGTACTTGTCATCTTTGGATCACACAAGCTGATGTGTGCTTCCTCTGTGTGAACTTAGTTGACTCCTTGCTTGCTTAGATGGCTGCTTGTCTGAAAACAAGCCTTTAAAACCTCAGACACTCTTCTGATTGATAGCCGGGCACCATCTGTTCTCTTCACCACACTCTGCTGTAGCACCCTTATCTCCAGTGATCATTTCATGAAGGCACATATCAAGCCTTTCTTCTGGTCTAGGCCTTTCTTCTGAGGGGAAGAAGGGGAATTTTGGTAGTAGTCAAGAGCGTCGACTGCCTGTACCACCCAAGGACCCCTTTCCTTATCTCTAAAGGGAGGCTAGCAACAGCACCTTCTCCAAAGGCACGAGAGATAATAGACAGAGAGCTTCTGGCACAGAGGTGGGCAGCGGAAATACTCTGTATTTGTTGCTTTTTGAAGGATAGGGACTATCTGTAAGAAAAGGACCAACGTTTGGAACACTTTTGTCAAGTGGCCTCGAACGCTCTTGTTTCCAGTACTGCCAGCAGTCTTTCTCTGAGTGCAGTCTCTACACCAGCAGCCTCAGGATCAGTGGGCAACTTCTTACAAATGCAAAGTCTCAGGCTCCTTTCCAGATCTACTGAATCAGAAACTCCAGGGGTGGTGACCAGTAGGCTGTGTTTTAGCCAAGTCTCCAGGTGATTCTGATGCTGCTGAAATTTGAAAACCACTTTCCCACAGACAAGCCCTAAGCTTCTCCCTGGTGGTATCTTTTCCCTTTCTGTGGTTGGACCTCAGTAGTTACCATTCTTGGCTACAGGTACAACGATGGGTTTCTCCTCATCCAGAAGCAAGCTGAGTGATGAAGCAGGAGAAAGATGAGTGGTGAAGATGGAAAGACGCATGGAAACAAATCAGTCCAGTGCACTACGGGACCATGCAAACATTAGTCTTTACAAGCCTGAGACCAGAAGAACTACCTGGTGCTCAGCTACCACTATACTGCTAGGGAAAGATTCACATTAGAAGGTCTTGGATAGAGTGGGATTAAAATATGGACCATAACTCAAATTCTTAAAAGACATCTGGCTTGCTGGTTGGATAGAGACTGGTGGGGCAGCCAAGACCCTCGTTCCAGACCCATCAGGCCTGGAAATGAGCTCACCTCCACGTTAGGATAATCAACCATTTAGGATCAAAAGGGCAACATTCAGCCAGTGACAACATGTAGAGGCTTAGGAAAGAGGGAGAGGTGGAAACAAGGGCACACAGGGAGAAAGTGGGACAAGTGATGGTAGATTGAGGGTATTATATGGAATGGGTTGAATTAGAATGTGCATGGAATATTGAATGTCAAACTCTGTGATTTCTATAACCCTTTACCTGATTCACAATAAAAAAGTAAAAAAAAAAAAGAAAAGATTAAAAAAATTGGCTATGTAGCCAATGAGCCCTTATGGTGTAAGGGCTCCATTGCTCAGCAAAAGGTGGGCAGTTCGAATCCATGCGCTACTCCCCAGGAGAAAGATTACAGCCTTGGAAACCCGATGGGAGCATGTCTACTCTGTCCTGTGGGGTCACCAGGCGTTGAAATGGGCTCAATGGAAATACGGTTTTTTGTTTTTTCAGTATAGACCCTCAGGATTTTCCTTCATCCTAAAAAAGGCTTTTTTCATTGTGGTTCAAAATATGCAGAGTACACATACAGCAATTGTTTGTTTCTTTATGTACTATTGATCGACACGGAGGACAGCTTCAAGGCAAGAATTACTACCCTTCTTTTTATTTTTTAAATTTATTTTTCAAAATTAACCTTCTTATAGGCATGGTTCTTCCCTCATGAATAGGAAGAACCCCCTGGCCCCTCAGCTTTCTTTCTGCTGTGATCCACCTGAGTCCCCTTCCGACTCTGCTCTCCTGTGGACACCTGAGAGCTAAGCTGCTGATGAAGGCGGTGCACCCACCCACATCCCGCTCATTGAAATCATAGAAGAGCCTTTGCACACAGACAACCGACCAGCACTCTGCAGGTGGTATGACGGGCCCATGCTTAGGAAGCTCCCGGCCGTAGATCTGGGACTCCCTTCCTCATCTTCCTTGGCATGTTTCTGATTTCAAAAGGGCTGTTCTGCCCACCAGGCAGCATTTGGATGGCAGGATGCTCCCCAGGGTCATCTGAGGCTGTAGTTGGCAGTGTGTGCCATTATTACCCTAGACAGGAGTTTATCTTCTGCTTTCTAAGAGGAATAGTAGTTACCTCATGAGAGTGACCTCATGTGGATGTTTACACTTTGTAGCCCTGTGTGCATAAACCAATTCCTTCAGCTATTTCCTGTTGTTCCGACCATTTGCAGACAAGCAACTGAGGTGGAGAGAGGTCAAGTCATTTAACCACAGTCATGCAGCTAGGAAATACTGAAGCTGCGGCTTGCGCCTTCCGTGCACATAATGAAGGCTTTGTACATTAAGACCAATGAAAGCTGGAACTGGGCCCGACTTGTTTCTCTGCACCTCCCAAGTTTCCAGTCTTTGACTGGGTGTGGCCACCACCTTTCAGTTGCTCTCTCTGTAGTGGAAAATACTCAAGTTTTCCTTCTCTGACAGGTCCCGAGGGTCACCAATTTTACTGCATTCTGTTTCATGATTTGAGAAAGCGGAAAAACCACCTCCCTTCCTCATTCCAAGCAGTCTGTTGTTTCCGTTGTTAAGTGCCATTGAGTGGGCTCTGACTCAGAGCAAACCCTATGGATAACCTGCCCAAATAAAACCCTGTCGGTTCCTGCACCAGTCACAATTGTTCTTATGCTTGAGCCCGCCGCTCTAGCCACTGTGTCCATCCGTCTCCTGGAGGGCTTTCTTCCTTTGTGCGGCCCCTCTGCTTCACCAAGCCTGATGTCTTTCTCCAGGGACTGGTTTCTCCTGGAGACATGTCCAAAGTCTGTGAGACAAAGGCTCACCCTCCTTGCTTCTAAGGAGCATGCTGGCTGCACTTCTTCCAAGACAGGTCTGTTTGTTCTTTTGGCAGCCCAGGGCACTGTCCATACTCGTTATCAACACCATCGTGCAAAATGCATCCTTCTTTGGTCTTCCTTGTTCCATGTCCACCTTTCACAGGCAACGGAGGCGACTGAGG